GAAATGTCAGCCCTCAAAGAATGCTCTTCGACTTCTGTGAGCAATGATCGAATGATTTTGCTGGCTCATGTCACTGTCAAACAACCAGTATCACTCTAGTTCATCTATAGCTCATGGAAGCTTGCAAGCAACCTTTGAATCTTGTTCTGACGCTTGCTGGCCACTCTTGTTTGGCAACCTTTGCCATCATGAGCTTGGCTGACCACGCCACCTTTCGAATCCTCTCTGGATGGTACTGGTGACACCTTTCTGCTGGATGCAGGTCAGCTTTGCTTCGTGTCCTACGCAACCTCGAGCTCCTGGAACTCTGCAGTTGTGCCACTCGCGTTTGGACGTCGTAGGTGTACTTCATCAATGGCATTGCCTTAGAAGCGCCGTGGAACATTTCTTCCTGAAGCAGATCCCATGTCATGGCGATTGACTTGCTCGAATCACCTAAGATCCGTCAAGCACTGGGCATGTTGCGCCACTTGTTGCGCAGAATGCGCGCTGTGGCCCTGTCGCCGCATGCTGCACATCGACTTTATTGCTCAAATTCAGTCGCAGCAAGTCTGGACTTCAATGAACTGCAGGTCCCGGATCTCCAAGGCTCTGATCTGAAACAGCTCCCAGCTCGGCTTTGGACGCTTCGTCAGCCTGATCCAGATTCAAGCGCCTCTGCCATCAGCACGTGGAACTGCTCTGCCCGATGACGAATCAGGAGAGCCAAAGCGTGGCGACAATCCAATTGCCCACATGGGCCTTCCACAGTTGTCCTTCACCGAAGGTCTGCTGACTTGTTTGGCGCGGGCAGTCCAATAGCGCATAGAAGTGCCGCGTTTCAACGCCTTCCTGTAATAGGGAAGGGTGCGCTGCGTCGATGATTTGCGGGCATACTCATCACCAAAGCCCTCGTGAACATGCGTGAACTCCTTGCAACGCCGCCACAAACTTTGTCTCGCAATAATATCCAAAGCGAAGGTTGATTCTGGAGCACTGCAAGCCCCTTTTCTTTAGAGAGAGAGAGAGAGATAAATAGAAATCGAGATAATGCGTCAGATTTTCCCTCAAATATATCCCATATATCCCATATATAGAACCTTTCCCACATATCCCATATAGAGCTATCGCTCCAGTGGACCAACACTGATGCCCAGCCAAGCGGCTGGAACGGTTGCCTTCGGACCCTGGCCTGTGGCGGATGTTGTTTGGCAACAGTGACCACAGCGAGTGGAAGGAAAATGTGATGTTGGGAGAGTTGCCAAATCAACTCTGGAGAGTTGGGGTGGACCGGGGAGATCGCTATTAGGTTGGATCCTCACTAGTAGGTTGGAGGCCATAGCTAACAGATTGGAGGCCATCGCTTGTATTCGCTAGTAGGTTGGAGGCCAACACTACTGGCTAGGCTATGTCGAATATCGAGTATCGCTCCGAATCTGAGTCGCAGTTGTTCATTCTTCAAACAAATTGGGAATGCATGCGTGTGCATGTTTGACATGGTTTTAACTGGTACACACACACACCAAAACAAGAAGGTGTTTTCTTCAAAAACACTCAGTTCAAACAAACGGAGCAAATGACAATATACAACTTAATGACCCCTGGTGATTCTCGATCACTGTGTTCTCTCTTTTGGCCAATGTGGCCGCCTGTGGGAATGGCACCATGGATCTGGTGGAAGACTTCCTGGAGTTAACACGGGATGCCCTATAGCTGCATCCAATGACAGGACTAAACTGTTTGATTTGGATCTTTCATGTGTTTTGTAAATTGCGTAAAGTCATCAAGGTGAGCGTGAATACTGTGTATGCACTGCTTTTGGCAATCCGGACGAGAGTGCCTGGCAGATTTTTACCGCGCCTTGCATTTCTGCATGTGATCGTTTTTAATGCATGTGTGCAGCACTTGAGCCGGGATAGTTACCACTGTTTTTTTCCATATCCGAGGAAGAACTTGCGAGATCTTTGCGATTCGACTGATCCTCAGGATGGATCCTCAGTGGTGCCATCCAATGTGTGCCGCAAATTCTGGGCCTGGCTGAAGAAGCAGCCGTGGAGAGCCATGCTACCATGGCCACGTGAGTATCTTGGATGTTTTGAGATTCGGAGGGCTTGATCACTCCTCAGGAGCTGAATATTGATTGCGAGAGTCTCAGGATTGAAGTTGTCTTGACTGATCTTCGGGAGGAACGACCGCACTTTAAAGATGTGTGGCATGTGTTCCTACCTTCGGATGTGTTCCTTGGCTGCCTCTTTTCAGGCTGCCCTTTTGTCATACTTGGGCTGCACCAAAGGGTTTTTATTAATTGATCAGGTTTCACAGTGTCTACCACTACAAGTTTGAATTATTTCAGAAACTATTCATTGGACCACCTGGTGTGGCTCGGCGAAATGTTTTGAATTGAGTTGTGCGCAAGTGGGTGGCTGACACATGTGTTTTGACAAAGGCTATTGAAGCCTTTTGGAACTCCCAGCGCAATCAACCATACTTCAAGGATCATCCAATCCTCTCAAACCCTGCAGCTTGCTTTGATTGTTCTGGATCGTTTTGTTTTGGGCCTTTAGAATTTTGTTTTTGTTTGGGAGCACTCTCCATCCATTGCAAGACATTACGGCCTGAGGCGACTGACCTTTCCAAAACAATTCCCATTCTGATTCACGGCGATGACGCCGACAGCCACAGAAGAAGAACTTTTGGTTTGGTGACTTTTGGATCGGCTGTGTGTCATGGAGAGTTTTGGGATTGCAGAGTGCCTGTATATGTTGTGGACAATCACCAGACAACTTCTGAAACTACTGCCGTGCTTGACACGTGGCTAGCGTACAGTCTCACTGAGCTTCAGTGCGGACACTTCTTAGACCGTGGGCCCTTTGGTGAAGAGCTGCCAGACCGGACTGGCTTGATAGCTGGAGGTTGGAGAGGCGTGTACGTGATTCATAAAGGCGACGAAAAATGGATGCAGAAGTGCTTCAAGACCTTGCACTCAGCAGTTGGCAACTTTGTCTGCATTGGGTGCAAGGCGACTGCATCGGGACAAGGTGTCTATACAGAGCACGGGCCGACAGCTTCTCACCGAGCCACGATCTTGAGTACAGAGAGTTCCTGGAAGATATATGTTCGCAGCAGACCTTTACGAGGATCCCAGGCTTCAGCAGCTCTTTTGTCCAGCCGGACTGGCTACATATCATGGACCTGTCTTTGATACCAGAGGCATCAGCGTCGTGTCTCATTGAATTGATTGAAGAGGGCAACTACTTTGGTGAAGGCACTGGTGATGAGAAGCTGAGGAGGGCCTTTATTCAGTTTCAGAAGGAGTGCAAGAGATTGAAGATTCGCTCCTTTGATCATAATTTATCATGTGTGCAAACCAGCTTGTCGCTATAGGGTTTCTTACATCTGATCAAGCCTTCAGACACCAAGGCTCTAGAGGACAAGTCTTTTCCACGAAGCTTGGCGTACACCAGATAGTCGACAGAAACTTGTTTAGTGAGGATGTCAACTTTAAGGAAGCATCTTCGAGCAGGAGGGGCCAAGGACTACCCGAGCCTGGCCCAAAAGCACTTCAATGGGGCTGCCCCCTGGCATGTGTGACGCATTATGTTCAGTTTGCTTGTAAGCAGCTTTGGGTTTCATTTGGAGTGTTCTTTGGCGCTCAAAGGAATCCGTTGTCCTGTGCCGGTGGCTTCGATCAATCACTGTGGAAATCGCTCATAATAATCCTTCGGATGAGCATGCAATGTCACCCGTCTGGAGTTTGGATGTGTTTTTCCATAACCTTGGAAGCTTGGCATTGCAAAGTTGAGACCCAGGTTGCGTGCTGCGATCTTCATCAATCTTTGCATCATGAGGGACTGCGTAAGTCCCAAGAGAAATCCGCTGGTGACTTTGACCCCGGAGCACTTGATGGGCCTTCAGAAGGCAAACTTCTTGTTCCACAATGCTCTTAATTGCTCTTTGGCTGAATGTGCGGCCTTGATGGCTTGTGAATGCTCCGTCTACACACATTAAGTTGTGCTGAGTTCAGGCCTTGCTGAAGAGGCAGTCCGTGCCGAGAAACTTCTCTGGAAAATCAGGCCGAAACTTCATCGGTTCCTTGGTTTGTGGGTTGCCAACTTGTTTTCAGTAATGTTGTTTTGTGGGTTTGTGGGCCCAGCATGATTGCAGGGGTACTTGAACAGGTTGGGTTCTTGAGTTGCGTTTTGTGCATCTAAGATTGGATCACTTGATCCTTGACGTGGCGCCGGTTCTGAACCCTCTTCTTCTTAGCTGCTACTGTGACGAAGACGGGATGGGCAAGCTCAAGCGGTTTGCTGCCCGCGCGAAACCGCGCCATCTTGGATTCCAGGTGCTTTCACGCTACTCAGCATTCATTTGCTGTCGCTGGCTCCGTCAGCTGACCGAGTGACATTGTGGTGACATGAGCTGCTCAAAATACCAACTCACCACTTCTCACCACACACACACACACAAGTTGAAAAAAATGATTGTGATGTCAATCGGTCTTCCATCAAACGCGCCAGAGACACCTGGCTGAGCTCGATCGTGAAAAGCAGGTAGCAGAGGCCGCGGCAGCCACAGTGGATGGGAGGAGGGAGAAACCAGAGAAACCAGGGATTTGGACATGAAGTTTTGATTTCTATGAGATCCCCACATTGGTGGGCCAAAGGGGTCTCCATTGGGAACCCCTTAAGAGGCCTCATATCACAAAACTCATTGGGAGGCCCTTTGATCATGCTGGTCACTGTCAGATCCATTTGCTTTTGAGTGTTTTCCTGATCCATAGAAGGCAGAGTATATATTGGTTGGTGGATTAATCGAGGGGATACCCCCAGCCATGAGCACCCAATAAGTATGTTTACAGATAATGGATCCCTTACATCAACCCCTCTATTATTCCAAAAAGGACATCATTTGGACTGATCTCCATGAAACTAGACGCAAGTCTAAAGCTGAAACTCACAGCATCTCACAGCTCAATGGATCAATCGGGTGGAAACTCACCGTGGATTTTTCTGCATCAGGAGATGAGGATGGAGTGCGCGCATTGTTTGGAGACCTCGGAGAAGTTGAGGATTGCAGAGGAAAGACTACAGGAGATGCAGGAGAGATGCTGGTGGGTGTTGGTGGACTGGTGGGTTTCTTGCCTTCAAGAACTGGACGATTGGGATTGTCCTTTGGGAAAAGGACGACAACCTTTGGATAATCAAAGGGTGAAGTTTCAGACATGCCATGAAATGCCTGAAGGTGAGGACGTTTCTTTACTGCCAAGAGCATCCAGATAGTAAACGAACGTGCATTTGACTACTGGATCAGTATCCTAACTGTATCTGAGCCCAATGCGGAATCACTTCTTTGCAAAAAGAACTGCCAGGACACTTGGATGCATGACTCAAATCCTCTTAAATGTTTGTGACACTAAACCTCACATCTATGACTTCCCCCGCAACTACTGGAAACCTCGAGTGCTTCCGTCGCCAACAGGAGCGAGCGCTGCAGTACTCACCCAAGGCACAGGTTTCTTCAGTTAGCGTTTTGGTTGAACGGGTTTCTAGCAGTTACCATGCTTTGGTTGGGAAGTGAGCCTGGCCCAGTGTCGGTCTCTTGGTTTCTTGGGGTTTGTGCTGTTCGTACCTGTAGGAGGTCCAATTGAAGACAACATCCTGAACCAAAACATATTCTATAGGAGTTGGCTGAATGTTTGAAACCTTGGTTTGTGAGCCAGTCCAAAAGGATTCGTTGCACACAGGTTTCACAGCCAAAAACCTGCGACGCCTTGTAGATCGCATTCTACTTGTTTTAACAGGGCACATACCAGGACCATCCTGTGTTTGGGTGTCCTGGCTGGACTACCCTATATACACTACCCAAGGATCTCCAGCTAGGACACCCATGTGTGTACATAGGTCCAGGTATACAAATACATAGTGACGGCACACCAGTTCTCCCACTCCTTCCTCAGTGCCGGGCTTTGATGGAAGTCAACTGGATCGACCTGCTTGGCTGATGTGGTCGACCTACCCCCACACGCTGTGGGCGGGCGAGGGCGATCACGAGCCCAAGTGTGTGAAGCACTGGCGAAGTGCATGAAGCGTTGAACCTGAATGCTGATGCCAAAGCTGATGAGGAGAAACGCCCTTTGATTCGAGCACGGACAGAACTGCACGTCGACGGTGGATCCGGGCTCGAACTCGTGGTGCTCCGCCACGTGTGTGCCTCGATCAGACCTCGTTCCATTTGGTATCTCCGTGTCAGTGATCAGGTGACCTAGACTCTGAGTTGGTGGCAGAGATCAGAAGGCCAAATTGGCCTGGTTCGGATTTACCCCCACTTTTGGATAGTTCCGATGCACTGAAGCTATGTCAAGTCTGGGTACAGAAGTTTGCGGCGGCGGGAGTTTGGAAGAGCGCATGGCTCCATCGAGGCCCTACCACCTTGACAGCTCCAATCACGCGAACCCGGATATGGCCAACCTGCAAGGGATACAAGCGACGCTATATAAACGGTGGTAGTGCATCGATATGCCCGAGGCTTTGATTGGGCCTACTCAGGTGTTCCTGCAAGTTTCTGAAGCTATAATTAAGGACATATATGTGACTTTCCACAGCCCTGCAGTTTTAAATTGTTTGAACTTGTGCAGTTGACAAACTTTATCACAGAAACATGATGCGGTCAACGATAGCGCTTTGAGGAAAGAGCTCCACATTCTCAACAAAGTTCCCCTGCGCTCAGACCAGAACAATCTGGATACCTGTGGGTCTATGAACCGGAAGGCTATAGGGGATGCCTTTATCTTCCGCAGGCGCCGCAGAGTGCGCGCGGCTACAGCGGGGCGGTGGCGGCCGAGGCGCAGGCAACGTGGCGATCTCAGAGCGGTTTCGGACGTCGGAGTTTCGGAGGTCGCAGGTCGTCGGTTTTCTGAGCAAAAGGAGAATATATAGCTTTTGGTCAACTTGAAACAGGATTGCCATCAGTTTGACCCGGATGGAAGAGGACTAAATCGACGAAATGGAGGCCTCCGGGGGCCTCGGGATGTTAGGGACATCTAATTCACCGCACAGAACCTGAGCAAATCCTAATATGTGCAGGGGTTGTTCAAGCCAATGATTGTGCAACAGGGTTTTGGCGAAGTGTTCCCCATGCACTTGAACCCACTTATGGTAGAAGGGGAGAACAAACTAGAAACTCCTGACGTAAAATGTCGACAATGCTTGGATCACGTATTATGGTGCGAGCTGGCGCATGCCGCATGCTTGCCCAGGCTGACCACCGGAAGACCCAGAAAACATACTGGCCAAAACCACAACCGATAATGCAGACACAACCCACCTGATCCCCTCCAATTGAGGGTTTCTAGATGTTTGATGCCTTTGGAACCAGTTCTGGAACCTGCAGGAGACAGACTTCGACACAAACACTGTGAACAAAAACCATCTGGTTTGGGTTCAGAACCGCTTCGCTTTGGATTTGGGAGAGTGATGTTTTCCTAAAAAGGAGGCCGAAAAGGGAGCAGTTTCGGAGCGACCAGGTGACCTTGAGTTCATGTTTAACTGACTATATCCCAGACACGACTAATGGGACTGGCATATCTGCCTACATTGACCCCTTTTCAACCACCGCCAATGTATGTATAAGTATGCCATACATGGAGTGTCTTGGCAATATGTTCACTTCAAGTCTCAGTCCCTTTGTAGCTACCCTCCTCCCATCAATCACCCGCTGGTACACCCGCTTGTACACACAGTGGCGCCCCCATCATCGCGCCGCCACGTTCAATGCCCGCATCATGCGATGCAGAAGATGGCACCAAGTATACACTCCGCTGCTGCTTTCGAATCCGCCACATGTTGCCTAAACCCACGACTCAAACCCACTCTGGGTCCATCACCCACGACTCGCTCCCTCGACGACCTAGCATGTCTCCCTGCACCGCACCGCGTGCCCAGGCGCCGCAGGAGGCGCTGTTGAAGAAGAAGGCCGCCGTGATGCTGCAATCCGCCTGGCGCCGCCGGGCCGCGCAGCTGCGTCACTGGGCCGCAAGCCGCTGCGGAGCGCTCCGCGGAGCAGAGCCGGAGCCGGGAGAGGTTTGAGAAGTGATCTTCGATGGCGGCCGCTGGGAGGCCTTCTTCATCCTTTCTTCTATTTGCATTCTTCTATTTTGTCTTTTGCTCCTCAACCTGTATGTGGCTTTATTCAGTTGCTATTCAGCCTCTTCGTGAACTTGCTGCGTACTATCGTAGTGCCGATCCATCATGCAACCATTTTGTAACCAAAACTCACAATCACAGTACAAGAAAAGACTCACAAGCACATCAGACAAAGAATTGACTCTGGAATACTCTGGATCTAATTCGTTTTCAAGGGGTACAGGAGGCAGGAAAGGAATTTCAAGGGGTCCAGAAGAGGTCCGATACAGAAAGAAACAACAAAGAATTGACTCTGGAGTTGCTTCTGGAAGAAGCAGGGGTGACACAAGGAATTAACTTGGGAGTCAGTTCTACTGAGGCGCATGCTGATCTGTACCCCAGGACAAAGAATCGACACCAGAGTTAAGAAACATTAACTCTGGTATTCACTCCATTTCTACAACGGACTGGTTTCCCAACGTTGAGGGTCGGGAAATTCAACCAACAGGACTGACCACTCATCATCATGCACAATGGTGTGTCCAAGTTTTATCTACTCCACCCCTACCCAGTTGTGGATCACCCGCAGGTCACCATGTCTGAGGAATTGGGGGCCCCCCATAAGCATTCAAGGTACTCACCTAGATCGAACGTCCCCGCGAGTACTCACCACACGAGTTCGGCGAGAATTCATCGGACACGGAAGTCAGGTACAGGGTTATTTATGTTCAGGGCACCCTTTGATCATGACCTCAGAGAAATACCGTACAGAGCACTTGATGTCCTTCAGGAACACTCCTGGGAGCAATCCAGATGGATTTTGATCGAGTAGTTGAGTAGTCAGTGGTAGTGTCAGTGGTGTTTTCTTCATTCACTATGATCACAAGCCAGACACTGCCTAGTCGATTCGATTTGAACAACTTGTTGACCGCATGACCGCATGGTGCAATCAAAGTCAGCTGCAGAGTTCATGAAGTTAATGTTTGAATTGCGCTCCTTCTCATTCAAGCAAACAAATAGGACATGGAGAGGGTCTTATACTGGATATCTCGAATGTCCCGAGCAAGAAAGTGAAGGTGGAGCGAGCGTTTGCGTCATCCTTTGGTGCCGAGATTGGGCTCCAGCTGACACCGAGGCAATTTTCAGAAGCTAGGCCCAGCCAGCCCAAGAATCACACAGTTCCAAAGCGGTGACCGGTACCGGTGGCGGTCCGAGTTGACCAAGCTCCGTCCTCGGTGCGTTCGTTCGGAGCTTTGGACGTGGAGTAATAGCGGCGCTCATCGCTTGGAAACGCGCGGTGTCCTTGTTTCTATAGCCCAAACACTCCATGGGACTGCCATATATGCCTACTTTGACCCTCCAAACCACCCAAATGTAGGCATATATGGCAGTCCCATGGAGTGTCTGGGTAGTGGAGTGTGGTTCACCGACTCGATGTTCAAAACACGGAGAGAGGAGAGGTTGCACGATGTTTGACATGCCAAGCCACCGAACCTCCGGTCCCGCGGTCCCGCCCGTTCGCACACCGCCACCGCCGCGTGCCACGTCCCGAGCTCGTCCGAGGCTTCGAACGGCACCTGCTGGACCTGATCTTTCCCCAAAGGCGCCGACCGCAAGCCGAGCCGAGCCGAGCTGAAAAGGGCTTTTGGTGGGGACGACTGGCCGGGTCCGAGGTTCACAACTGACTCGAGTCAGTCATCTTGAGTCGAAGTGTTTTTCGCCACGAGCCGAGCGAGCTGCAGCTTTTCAGCCAACGTCCCAGCCAAGCACTTCGCTTCAAGAGCCATCCCTCAACATTTGGCGGAGCCGCTGGGGAGGGGAGACACAAAAAAATGGGTTCGAAGACCTGCAAGAGAGCAATGATTTTGAAGATTTTTGAAGTATTTCAAGATGTTCAGGACCGTGATTTGTAACAAGGTGGTTCAGAAGCAAAACACAAAACGAAACTCCTTTGGGTTATCAAATCTTGGAAGATGTTGAAAGTATTTGTTTTGTGTTTGTGTGCGGTTCGGGCATTTCAACGATCAGAGTCGAACCAGAACCAATGAAACGTCCAACATCGTGGACGAGAGAAGATGTTCTCCCTCAAAGCAACATCGCAACCTGCAAGAGGCTTCGGAAGATGACTTGCTGCTTGATCTGGTTGCCGATGTTTTGGGAGTTCCTCGACTCTTCATTGTGATTGTACCACACATGATGATCCACACCACTTAAACTGCATCCACGCCACTTGATACGCCATCGCTCTTAGGGTGGAGGCGGACTTTCTGTTTCCGCTCACCACTCACCCTGAGCAGCTCGCGCACTCCCTGCTCCCTGCTCGCTGGCTCTCGAGGCCGGAGGGGCCTTCCACACCGATGGCCACGTTGAGTTCGCTCCGCTTGGTACAGGTGGAGCTCGTGAGTGGAACAACCGCGTGAACCACCGCGCGGACATCGGGCGGACACCGCGGGACTCTGGTGGTGATTGGCCGAGAGTATTCGTTGGCTCGTTGTGTCACGGTCTACACGTGTATTCCGTGAGAGTCAAAGAGTGTAAAAAGGGTCTTTTGAGTACCTAGAAAGGGAACTACCTATTTCTATGTTTAAGTCTTTCGACTTCTATGGAGTATTTGTTGGAATTTGAAATGCATGATGTGTCAGATAGCACGAAAACATAGAGTTCTAATGATAAGCACTGTATACATCAGATTGAAAACATAAATATAACAAAAACAACATCTATGCGTAGTATTGCTGCATGTCATAGTGCATGTCATCTATACCCCTATTTAATGACCTCATGAAATACACGAAGTCGGCCATACAAAAAAAACACGACTGATGGAAGGAGGTCACTTCCACACGGTTCAGGTTGGACCAGGTTGGACCGTCCGTCGTCCGATTGGGCCTCCGTCCGACGGTTCAGGGCCTTCTCCGCCGCGTGTGGCGCTCCCTGCGACGGCGTGGCTTGGACTTTGAGCTCGCCTACCGCTGCGCCGATGCAGGCGAAGCGATGATGTGCGAGAGTGCAGTGCCAGTGAGTCCGCTCCATCCCATGCGTGGGTTGGTTTTAGGAGGGGATTTTAGGAGGGGAAGAAATCAAGGAGTTGTGGTCCGCTCCATCCCATGCGTGGGTTGGTTTTAGGAGGGGATTTTAGGAGGGGAAGAAATCAAGGAGTTGTGGTATTTGTGTTAATTAAATTCCTTGTTGTTGGTACCAGTAGAATGGCTCCACAAAATGACCCTCCTTGGAACAAACACGTGCTATCTCCACGTGCCGAAGAAGACCGCTAGCCGCTTGCCGCTCGCCGCCGTGGATGATTGGGCGCGCCAGGCTACCAGAAGAAAGCCGGCACGAGTGCAGCGGATGGAAGCTCCATGCGTCCCGAGATGGAATGACCAGAGAGTCGGATGGGGAAGAACTTTCTACCCACCATCCTTGTTGCTACTAGTAACAAGTGCCACGCTAGTAGTAACAAGTGACTAGTAGTAACAAAAAGCTATTAGAAGTAACTTTAAATTAATAGCTTCTTGTTACTACTGGTAAGGCACTTGTTGCTAGTAGCTTCTTGTTCCTAGTAGTAACAAGTGCATCGCTAATGACCAGAGAGTCGGATGGGGAAGAACTTTCTACCCACCATGATGGAATGTTGTGGAATAGCGTGGAATTCCGCCTCCTGAGAGTGGGGAGGTTGGGGAGGTCAAGACTCAAGACCCAAGAAATACATGGAGCATCATGAGAGTCTTTTCTGTGCTTGTTGAGGTCTTTTTTGCATAAACTGCTTTTAAGGGGCTCCCTGGGCTTTTCTGCGAAGATCCATACCACTACCTAGACACACACACACATGGAAGAGTTACCTAAATATATTGACCTGTTCAACCACCCCTGGAAGTCCAAGACCATTTTTGAATAAATGGTTGATCCTGCCCAGAGACTCCATGGGACTGCCATAGGACTGCCGATCGGGCCAGGGGTGGTTGAAAAGGGGGTCAATTGATCGGCATAATCATGGCAGGTCCCATGGAGTGTCGTGTTTGGGCGGGTTTTCTAAGTGTCATGAAAGCTTCTTCGGGAATGCCACGACTTCTATAGACCTACTCCAATGACCTCGTCCCGTCGTCGGATGTCTTCATATATACGTTCTTGGTGGGGAGCACTTCCTGCCGTCTTCGTACCGAGGAGTGGGACACTTCCTGCATTTCCTTTGTCAGCAACAAGGCACGCTTCGTCTCGCTTTGAAACCACGGGAGTCTCGCTGGCGGACAACATGCTGCTTCACCGTTCGACTCCACAAAGACCCAAGCCACTAGCTTTATACCGACAAGGGGATCCTGATTCAGTTGGCATTTGGTGTGAACTTGCTTTGAAACCAATCATTTGGTGGTTTTCCATGATTTTCCCACCCCCCACAACGGGACTTGTGTTCTTTGAACGTGGTGATGACACAATTGACTCGACGCTTTATATGGGCCAACCCAGAATTTCATCTGAACCCCTGGCCCTTTGTATTCTCTTGAAACCATGTAATTAACCCGCACAGATGAAGAGGGGTGTGTGTGTGTGTGTGTGCGTGTGTGTTTTTAACTGTGGCTTTCAACG